AGTCAATATCAGCGTGATTTTTGCGGCTGTTTCAGGCCGTCGATTCTCGGGCGTTCGTCCAGCCGAGCGCCGATATTAAATTTTCTGCTTTCTTTATTGTTCCCATTTAAACGCTAGACGAGAAAAATGACCGACTCGCGTATTTAAATCGTAAAATATTAGGTGCGTAACAAATTTTATATCATTGAACAATTATGCAAAACAAGAATAGCGACGTCTCACACGGTGATTTTTCTACACTTCCCCAAACAATTAGTCGATGCATATGAGATAGGGAGATCTCTGTGCGTGCTATCACTGCAAGAACAACGGAACTGTTCGGCAACAAGAAGCCGACTTCAGTCAGGTTCTTTCCTCCTCGTTCTTAAAATCTGTGAAGCTTCAATGCGGTTAGCTGATACTCAGAACAGATACACTATATAATACCTTAAACAGAATTTTTGAGGCGAGCGATGTTGCGATGGCCGTCGGTAGCAGGCGACAGTGAGTCACTATTACAAACTGCGTTGGAGAAACTCTTTTTGCTGAAGCTGTTACTCGGTATGGGTAGAGATGAAGCACCCACTAATATTCTTGCCACCACTGCGGTTACAAAGATAGACAAGCGCGTATATTAGACTGTCGGTCCATAAAGTCTGCGTAAATAAATATATCCAATCTACCCGCTTATTCATGATTGTTTTCTTGATAAAATTTGTTGTTCATTTGCAGTTTAGCAATAATCAATTAACTGACAGATCGGCCAAGACCTTTAGTGGATTTCGTCCTTTCTTATTATGTGCGGCTTCGAAGCATAGCAAATGCAATCCATAGTGTGGCCCTCCCTAATATAGACAAACGCTCGTTGCCTGCCAGTACCGCTATTCTTATACTGCAAAGTTAATTGCAGGTTTCTCCTCGTAATATTGTGATGATCGAGTTTTCCACCTATCTGATAAGCGTCAGTGATGCCTGGAAGCTAAATTACATTTTTGTGATCCTATTGTCCTATATTAATAGATGTGACTGGGCACACTTTTTTTCCTGTCTCGTGTAGATACGCCGTTTTGGTGGACAGGAGTAGCTAACAACTAACTGTGGATACGGGACACAGCTCAAGTTAGACATACATACATAAATACACATATATAAATAAACAATAAAAACGCGATACCGCACAACTTCAGAGGGCATTCATCGTCCATTAGATTTTCATCAGTATCTCTATCATTTAGAGCATCACTTTTTCCTCAGGCGCACGCACAAGTAAATCAAGCACGTTTGGTTTCCTCAGCGAAAACAAACAAAACAGATCAATCTTTTCACCAAGCTCAAGAAAGCTATCCATTCTTTCGCGTTCTCCGCGTCTAACGCGCCCCGAATCAAAATAGAGGACGTCGTAAGCACCGTGCTCGTAGCGAAGGAAAACAAAGGAAACTCTTCATTGCTTTCTCCTACCCAGGCGCTGAGGAAAATAGGAGAGTGGTTTTCAGCTTGTGCCTACGCGGCCCCTTACGCTCCGAACTTCATTACGTTGGGGTGGACGGTCAGAAACTTTTCGCTGTTGTAACCAGTACCGCTGCAGCACGGTATGGCAGAGAACAGATAACCCAAAGCAGCAACTTAACTGTGGCAATAACGTAAAAATAAATCGAGTTTTACACTTCGTCGCGACATCGAAGTGGAAAGTTGAAGGACGCAGTTAACGGAAGCTACTCGTGTGGCCAGCCTGCAGTAAACTGCCATATAACTTTCCTCTGATACAGGCAAATCACAGCGCGTGGTTGACGATATTGATGACCTTTGCAGACAACTTTAAAGGTATGTGCGAAGGGAGACAACGGCATAATTCTCATTTTCGTATTATATATTAAGGCTTACAACTTTAATATATGATATAATACTTTAAAATAAGTAGCCAAGCAGGCAGATATTCGTGATGAGACCACACGAAATGCGTCATTCGATCGTGGATACCGCTAGGACGTTGGTGGATCGAGATCAACCTTGATTGACCGCTGCTGTAATTTTATAATTGTTGGTTATAAAATAATGGGCCGTAATTTTCTTTGACATTTTACCGTGAACGTATCTTTCTGAGGGACTTTTGCACTAACTTAAGAAGGGATCGTCATCCTGCCGGGCGAAAAAACTTCAATAATACTATTATAGTTGGTTCTTTTTCTTTAGTCTCGGAGAGTTTGTTTTAGAATCCACACAGTGGTTACGGGGGCTTGTACAAGTCAGCCGTCTGATGAAAATAATCTACTGCCTCTTAACGTAACACTCTCTCAATGTAATAAATGAAAATCGTAGGAACAATACGCTTGACAGCGACTGTTTTAGCCGGTACTTCGTCTCTATTTAGCTTGTAAATTATTTAGTTGCTAATGATACATCATATAATATTTTGAGAAATATTGTACGTTGCCTACTGTGAACGTTGACGCGGATCTGAGTCAACGAGACAAAGGTTAATCAAAAATCACGGATTGCATGCATCGTTAACGTGGTATCCGAATTATATAGAAAATGCAATGATTTCATACCCCTTTCAATATATAGACATACGTTACTCAATAGTTATTATAGGAAATAACGATAATTCGATGACCGAGTTTTTTGTTTTTATATTTTTTTCTTGTTTTGACAATACACACTGGATGAGGGAATAAGCAAAATACGGTATCATTTATGTAAATTACGAGTGCCTGATTGGACATAGCAATCTAAAAGTATACTACATACTAGATGTACTTATTGATTTAACTATATAAGGCTGCTTTTTCTTTTGCCAGATCTTAATTCAACGCGAAGCTGAAGTAAAGCGGTGTTCAGACGCTTTTTGTTCCGAATTTTGTAACGAAGTATTTGAACTCGCACGATCTACTCGGATCTGAGTCTGCGGTAGCAAATCGTTTGACAAATCGCCCTTGGGATTTCTATCGGTCTACTAAGAATGAGGCTGATCGTTACCGGGATTCTGATGAAGGATGAAGCTCCCTCCCGGTAGGATATAGTACAAGCGTTATTTCTTCATAGCGCTGGTTAGCTTCAACATAATAATGAATTTGTCATGTTAGTCGTGTTCGTACGTTGCATTTTACTTCGGCAACAACAAAAAGATGTGTGCAGTTAAATAGCCTATACTAAATAATGTTCTAAGGGGACTCGTTTAATTATCTCTTATATATATATATATATATTAAAAAATAAAAATATCTATCAATTATTTAGATAGATATTTTGTTTTACGTAACATTACGTAACAATACGTAACATTCATAAAAAACAACGAAACAACAGCTAGCTGGGTCAACGGCCTTAGTCATCAGGACAACGGTACGTGTGGTGTAATGCAGTTACTCCTAAATAAACTAAGTAAAGTACGCTAACGTTTACTGCTAGTACTACTGTCTCGACGGCCCAGTAACTCCAAAATCTCCATTCTTGGCTTACATGCCAAGGTTCTACGGCAGTTGGATGAGCATCAGATGTTTTGCAGTATATTCTAATCAACGCCTCAACATAGTCTAATCAAGCAGAAATAATCGGCAACTCATTTAGTAAAAATATTACTTTGAACCTATAAAGAGGCCACTCGTCTTTCCAGGGGCATCGAGTGAACTGGTTGGACGGACCCCAGGTAAATCGCATGCTTTTAGATAGGCACGCTTCTGGAGAGACCGTCCGTTCCTTAATGGAACAGCAGTCTTAGACGACTTCTTCCGCCCAGGACTTTTCGTTCATTAAGACCCCTAGTACTACCCCTAGTACCCCTAGTAAGACCCCCTAGTACCTTTCCTTAGCGTTACCTGTTTCCCCTCCCATCCAATCTTTATCTCGCCCTAATTAGTCAACAGCGCGGCAAAGAAAAGACCGCGCGATTTTCCTATGTAGAATAGTCATTTACGTATCCAAGGCTGTGGTCATATCGTGTTCTAGCTCAGATTCAGTATTTTGACTTCGTTCAAATACAAATATACACGCAAAGGATCCATCTTACTCCACAAAGAAACAGACTCACGCTTACACAGAGAAACATTCTCTGCTGTATGAGACTAAAATGGTGGCGGGGGTGATTTGCACGGAATTCACATTTCGCTGGCAACGCCGATGGCTGCCTATCTGCGGTGGTAGACCGCAGATAAGGAAGCACCCTATTGCTCGCAGCTAGCAGCTAGCCGTGTCAAATTAAATCGGATGGCCTTGAGTGAAATGTGACTGTATATAGAAAGAGGGCGACAACGGAATAGACTCTGCAAGCCAATGGGGCTAGTAGATTCTTGGGGTTTGATCTCACCTCTGGAAAGGGCCGAGGTACGCAGGATTAGAGGCAGGAAAGACGTCACGGATGCAGGTTGCTGCTGGTGCTAATCTGATCTGAGCAACAGACATGATCAAACGCGCACTCAAACAGATTCGCACCTTAGACACAGATACATGCAAGTGTATAGACGCAACCTGACATGGGCACAAATGAAATGTACGAAATTATAGTTGATGCCACTTTAGTGGGTCTACGCCGAATTCAAAAGCGATAAATAATTACTTTTTACCGGATCTGCCAGAATCGTTATTGGTGCTTTCCCGATATCGTTCACATGCCCTCCCAACAGTGCATCTCCGCCCAACAGTGCCCGGCACATGGACGCACGAAAACCATGAATAGAGACACCATATCGTAGTAGAGTAGTGAGCGGTAATGTAAGCACAAATCATACCACTGTGAATCACAGCAATGCGAAAACTATACGCTCATGAGTAGCGTACGTAACGTTGGGGTCATTTGCAGAGTGTAGATATTGAAGTCCCCAGCTCGAACGTCATTTCAATCGAAGACAACAAACGGTCAGATTGGAACAATGCTAGTACAAATCAAGTGACAGGCACGGATGAACGAGTCACGAGTTTTGCGCGTAGTAGAACATCACCCAATGATCTCGTTTCTTTAACGATTATTCAAAACTGACCAATATGCTAGTCATGCAGCACTTACCGTTGAACGCTTGCCTGCCGAGACGACTCTGACGAGGTCACCCTATTTACGATACGAGTGATGAATTGTAAGTATGAGTCCCGGCGACAAGAGACCCACCTCGTACACAGGGACATCTAGGTATAACATTCCCACAAGCCCAGGCCCAACGCCGAATTTGTGTACGTCTGGTATAACATGACACAGAGAGCAACAATGACACTTATGCGTGCTTATGACATTTCGTATCAAAACGTAGAGTATTTAGGCTGGAAGTTGTGAGCTTGAGGGCGTAAATGAAGCGATAAGTAAAATGGTTGCTTAGTACCTGTTAGCACATTCGACTGTAAATTGCTCAGTGGATTGCCTCATTGAAAATTATGTATCCGTTCCTTGTTGCATATTTCCATCAATTTCGGCGTCATGAAAACGCCAACCTGCCGTATATATACCTTGGTAGATTTCAAAACGATTAATATAAGGGATCTACTAATTTGCCTCAACCTAACAGTGAGAACGTGTGCGAAACGCCCGCAGGACTTCTAGCTTTACCGCTAACCGAAAATGTCGTTAAATACATTGTGAACAAAGCTATCAGCCATTTCGATAGTAATGTTGCGTCTTCAGAATCCCACATGACCTAATGGTACCATCGGTGTATGATACGTTTACGCTGTTCCTAAGACTCGAAAGATACGAGCATTTCTTTAGTCTGTGATCAAAGCATGGTACGCCCGGCAATCATAACTTCATCCACTGGAAGTATTTAGTTAAGATTTTGACCATCTAAGATTTCTGCTGCTCTCTATCTACCATACTTTAATATTACCAACTCGAATTCGCTATGAGGCTTGACAGCAGATCAATACAAAAGGACTTTCTCGTTTTTTTCTTTAATCAAGCTGACCGCGAAAAGTTTCATACGTACTGGAAAACAGGCTAATATAGGATATTCTCCACCTCCTCGATCCTTTAGGGATTCTTTAGGGATCTCCTCGATTAGGGATTAAGTATTGACACTATACTTTTGCATTGTTTCAAGCGTAGAGCACTGGACAGAATCAATTCGTCGGCAGTCCTTAGAACTCGTTGAATATTTCCATGGACTACATTGACAGCGTAGACAAGCTGCCCCGCCTTTGTCTTGCCAGTCTTGTGAGGAACGCTTTCCTTGTAAGTGGTATTGGACAGTACGATCTCGAAAGCAGGACGCCTCTGCGAGAAAGCATCAGCCGGAGATCCCAACATTTGTATTGTGTAATGCTTCGTTTTCTCATCAACGGACAACGATCCTGGCATGTTCACTAGGCCCTCTAGGCACTGGCCTCTGTCTTCGTTAATAAGGGTTATTGTTACTAAGTTACGTAGCTGCTCCAGTTGGCAAACAATTGATTTGATTGGCCTCGTAAATGTTGTCACAGCGCAAATTTCAGCGAAAAAATTCCTGTTTAAAGTCGGTACCCCATACATCACTAAAGCAGGATAATTAGCCTAAATTTGTGATCACCTACATTGCTTTATTGCAGCCTCGATTGGATCGACTCTATATTTACAGTGCTACGTTGAGCTATCGAGAAGCAGATAAATCTTTGCCGAAATATAATGGAACTGCCCATTAGAAACGTGTACTATATAATAGACCAGTTACAAAAGTGTTTGCTCGAGATATTTTCCCTGGCAATGCATAGCCAGAAGTCACTAGCTTGTAATACATGGCTAGGATAGTGCTTACGCGTGCATAATGTATGGCAGACATGCAGTACGTATGAGGCTAAAAATACCTCCTATTTTCTATACTGCGATTATGCACATATTCGAGGAAAAATAATGTTTAAAAAATATAATTTTAAAGAAGGAAAGAAATACCTTTTCTGATTTCTCTTAAAAGTAATTAAAGGGCGACGCTAAATCCCTGATGATTTAGGCGGAAGTAAAAGCGAATTTACCTGAAATTTAACAGGACCAATGTTAGCTTTTTAGTGCAGTATACTATATATAATATCGTTTACGTTTACCTGAGAATAGACTTCACTACGGAAAGGACGTTGACTCGTTAATAATAATCATCTTTTAAAAAAGCGAGTACACTATGGTCCTACAGAAGTGGATTATTCAATAATACATAGAATCCGAGTAATGTTAGCAATGACCTCTATCATTTTTACCGATCTAATTATAGGACATGCGGAAGCTTAATAAAACCCGTATTTACTTTGTTTTTTTGAACAGTCAGTTTGGAAGCCGTCAACACAGGGTCCTATAGATAAAGCGGAATCAAATTTTCAATAGGTAAATTTTAAAAACAACGAAATATCCTACAATGACCTTACATGAGCACTACTTATAATCAATGTCAATTTGTTTATTACAGCAGTAACACCATTTTGGGCTTTTAGGTGAGTTTAGGATTAGGATTATATCTTTGCTTTTAACGTTACACAGCTACGCCGTTAACGTTAGCTAGCCATACTAAGTAAGGTATGGCTAGCTAACGTTTTGTCGATGAGATCACAACGTTCCGTGTCGGGAGGGACCTTCATCCACCATTTCTAGATAGTGTTAGTTGATGTGAAGACAACGATCGATTTATATAGTAATAAATAACATCCATATGTATTTCACAACTTCTTGGAAAAGAAAGGTTCAACAGTTATTTTAATAATACGCTTCGAGGATAATCACGATTGTTTGTCGTGACTAAACCACTCACAGTATTTACGCACCTGTATAAAATGGTTCTGCAGTATTAACTGGTTTTTACTGTTGTCTTCTTCGTAAAGCCTTTGGAATCATCTGTCAATGCCGAGATTCGAACCAGTGGTAACTGGCACGCTTGTTGCTCACGATTACTATCACAGACGACTCAGCAATGTGTATTGGCGGCCTAGACCCTATTGACATATCACACCATATTTCTGACTCTGGATCAGACGAACCGCCCGCTCTCGACATACAGAAATGCATAATCAATGCTCCATGCCAATTAGTAGATGAATGGGCGGTCTACAATTTTTTTTGCTCTGTTTCTTTACTTAAAATGTCAAACATCTTACACGGAAAATATATATAGCTATTCCGGTACGTATATTATAGTTTTGTCATACCATAGTGTCACAGATTACTGACAGATGTCAAGTTTGGCCTGTGTATAGGTTGAGGCTTATTGTTTTTTTTATCGTCATGTGTACCTTTCTCCTTTTTCAACGCAGGTCGACAATCAGGTACATCGTATAACTGTGCGTGAGCCCTTGCCACATCTCCGTTCATATGTGTAGAGAATATGCTACTTTGCAAGCTCATTTCTCAAACTCCTCTGTAATCGTTGAAACAAGGGCAACGACGTCAATTTTGTTTCCTTCATTTCGCACCTTTATACATGCTAAATATATACAGATGACGTAAGTCTAGAGTGGACTTCAACAAGGTATGTGGCGTAGCTAACGCTGTCCGGCCACTCTCGTCCTTTTTCTCACCTTGAATTCTTTGCCATACGCTTCGTAGAGATAGAGGTTAGTGCGTAACGCTCCACCGTCTTCGATGCCTTACGTGTTACTAACTCTGCGACAGGCGCAGCAGATGTGACCAACGATGTCGGACGGTGGCGTCTTCTTGGTGGAAAATCTTTTTGTCTATCTGTCCTTAATTAAGCTGCCCCAAACTCTACGTTTCGCCCCTAACAGACAACCAAAAGATTTGTCTCCGGTACAGCGGCTAACCTGTAGTGTACTAAATCGCATAAAATTGCATCGCTTTTTGGCTAACATTAAATTGGTTTTTTGCTACGGCTGTTGTAACTCCTAACTAGCCGTCGTCTCTCTTAGAAGACCGCCTCTCTTAAACTGACAATGGTGAGTCCTCACGCAGGACTCGCCATTGTCAGACCCACTTAGCTGTCCTGCTGTCGAAGCCATGAGCGCATTTCGTTGACTATCGCTGCACCGTCTCATCATCCACGCTCACCCACCTGCAGAGACCTATTTTGCGTCGCGCCATCCACAAAACGCTCTATAAACGGCGTCTCTAAGCGGATGACTTAGCGCCGAAGGTAACATTGTTACGAGTGAAGGTGCTACTCCCCCCGTCATCTCATGCCTTCTCCTAGAGCTTAGTCACTTAAGCCAAACGCCCTACTCTAACATCTCGACGCATCACAAGCCGCGCAGGCCACATGTTAGCGATGCTCTCTTCGTCAAATTTCCTCTCCCTGCTGAAACTATTGTAGCGTCGATACAGACTTTCCGTCATACCAACTGCTGAGCATCTGCCCCGACAATCCTGCTTGCGTTCTAATTCCCAACATCATTCCCGTCACAACCCACCCATCAGCGCTTCTTTTCTGTGTCAAGTTTGTAACGTTCGTTGTATTCGACGACGACTGAAGTAGCACCGCCGCTGGTGGTAGTTTTCGACGCAAGCAACAAAAACCAAACTGAAATGATAGAAAAATACACCTATCTCAGCCACCGATCCGACCTATAATACAGACGTCACGAACGTCCCCAACCACCTCCACTGCTGTGTCTAAATGAGGCGAACATCCATGGGGAAAAAGGATATCAGCAGACCAGTTATGTCGATTCCGCCGGCTATATTCTCCCATGGCACCTCAACTGTTTTCTTCTACATAGCGAAAATGTCGCCTTGTACGAACTGTTAACTTTGAAGCGATGAGAAGATCGTTCGTAAAGGAAAACAGATGGTCAATAATAGTACGCCTCCGATGTGATAAAGATAGGTTTCCTGCACGTGCCATAAACGTAATTGAGCTTCAAGCGTATTTTTGCTGTAAACAACGACATGGTCGATATATAGCGCCGTTCAAAGGCACAAGGCATTTCTCAAGGTTGACCAACATCAATGGAAATGGGTGTACTATGGTTGATCAAATGTGTCAATATATATCGTTTTTCGGAACCGGAGAAGACAAAGGAAAAATCTTATTAAAGGCAATAGAAGGACACGGAGACACCTTGCAGGGTCTTGCTATTAGGAATCCGTCCATATCACGTACGTTATTTAAGAAGGAGCATTTAGAATAGCAGAAAATCATCTCAGAAATAGGACGTTCAGAAAATTCCTTGTGTTCCTCCACGGCAGACGATCAAACTCGCCTGAGAGTTTGCAAGCCGTGTCAAGATTCTGTAGCTGTTTAAGGCACTGAGGCGTCGGCGTGTATGTGATCTGTTTGTCCACACAAGTGAAAAGGATACTATGACGCATAGGACTACGAGACGAGGGATGGCCGCGTTTGGCAAGTGGGTACATTCTAAGACGCTTCCGTCGCACAATGAAATGCCAAAGTGCTACAGCCACGACGTCGAGCTATCAGTGCGGTCAACCGGATCTTGGACAACTAATATGTAAATTGATTCAGTCTGACCTCAGATGAATCCGTCAGCAACTGACCACTAGCCGTGCCTAGCGAATAAATAGTCCTTACACACTTTGAGTCGGTTATAGCTATGCTTTCTGGAGCATCCTTGAGAAAATTGAAAATCTGGAAACTAGTTCGCGGGTAGCTTCGTTGTTTACTCATGATCTGTTGTTGATTCTGACTCTAGACAGTAATTTTCCAGTAGTATCTCAGATACCTCGAATGAAAGCTGAATAAAGTCTATGTGAATTATTCAACAAGTAGAACCCAGACCTATTCATATCAGCTAATCGAATCCTGTCCATGTAAAATGATTCGTCCATCTTTGACACAGAAAGGTCAACGTACTATCGAGTATTGGCAATATAGAATAGGCGCGCAACAAATGATTTGCTAGCGGTCCCAAATGTTTTCCGACGTATGCGCATGCGCCGTATGCATATGCGCTTTCAAGGTATACCTGCGTATCAAACAAATAGTTCACTGACTTAGGTTAATTATTTTGTATGGAGAAAAAGTCTTTTCCATAAGATGATGGAAGACCAAAGCTGAACTCAGTTTTGAAATAAGCTATTTCACTATACTGCCAAACGAAGCCTCTGTCACAAGTGATATGGGACGACATGGATGTTGTAACAAGAGACTCATGTCTACGCAAACTTTCCTCGATACCTATGTGAAATTTATGTCGATGCCGCGTATCAGACAGAGTTTCGTCGGAATACAGAATACGCTAAACCCATTTCGATGTATGCATCCTGCAATGGAGAGAAGCGAATCAATAGCTTTCGTCGTTACGTCCCGAAGGAACGCTAAATTGAAGGCAATACATATACAAATCAGGAGGAATGAGCAGAAAATTGACCTAAGGGATCTGAGATCCAGCATAACGCCCGCGAATGTACGGTAGGGACTGATATGGAAAAATAATTGCCTCAGGCAATCCTGCGTCTACCGAATGACCAAAAACTGAGACGGTTTCCCGTAGCTGCAGAGATGAGGATATCCAGAGGCGAAACATAATTCAAGAGGATACGCTCGATTGGTAGTGAAAAATGAAGAAAGCTTTTCTGGTACGATAATGGAGACGACGACCACGAAGTTGCTACCACGGTTATTGCAGCATTGGAACTACTCGGTAGAACAAAGGAGATCCAACCACTAGTCATCAAAATAGATGACGTTAGCCTTAATCAGGCCATACTTATGCCAGATGGTAAAAAGTTGGGTTTCTGTTATCGTGAACAGTCCGTGTCATTTAGGCACAGCGCCGTGTAAGAAATCAGTGTCTTTACTAACAGAAATAAGTGTATTTGTCAGAATATGCAAATAACGGACAGCATTTACGCTATTTTCAGAATGACGCTAGTAGATCTAACCTAGCTCTCTCTCAACTGATGCACTGCTTTAAATCGAACGGGTTCTCTGGTCTATACACGAAGGGCTTGCCGAAACTCATCTCAGCCTAGTTTGAGTCGCAATGGCCGTTCAGGTACTCCATATTTCAAACAGTATCGTCAGTGTCAGCAAGCGGGCCGCCGCAAAGGTATCGTCACAGCTTTTTACGTGAGATTTTATCAGGTTAATTAGTTACTTCATTCTTATCGTGTGTTCCACGGCCACTGAAAGGCCGAACATCGTCGTGAACAGGAGGGCAAGTCGTCGCAAAACGCAATAGCAAAGAGTTCCCATTGATGGAACAACGAACCGCTTGGATTTCCTAAACGAACTAAGATTTGAATAAACTCTGAGTGCTAGTGGAGAGTCTCGGACTGCAGTAGGAAGAGAGGCGATATATATTTCTTCATAGTGAATAACAATGGGGGTCTTCACAGCAGAGCACGTGACGTTGCGTTTCTCGTAGGTACTGGGTTATGAATTATTTATAGGCAACTATTCAGGCTTGATGCATCGATGAAGGGAATCTGCAATCACCACTAGGTGACGCTGGAAATTCTTATGTAAAGGACATACACAAGACTGTAATGCAGGTTAAGTCACGGAAATTGCTGTCTTACGTTATTTTCCTCAATGAAAGCCAGAGAAACTTTATGGCAGTTCATTTTACTGGTCGATATCCATTGGTGTATACAGCATGCTATTTCCCTTATTTTATTAGTGATTTATCGACATTTGACCCTACAGATATTTCCAATTGGATCTGGTATACAAGTGGGTCCCATAGACCTCTCATGTCGTCACCGCTGGCTGCCAAATAAATGAAGACCTGACTAAAGTTTGTAGGTGCAACCCTACGACGTGCGTAGAGGGTCGTAATCCGCTGCTACCTCTAGGCAGCGTCAACCGCTGCATCGACAGTGGTCAAGACTTAAAGCTGTGTAGACGCCTCCTAACACTGAGGATTAAGACTGTACAATGGAAATCATCACGTCGAGGCTGTCTTTCACAGGGGCAATCTTTATTTGAACGCTGTAAGATGGTTGAATAGGTGTTTTGTCGACGCTGCTAAGCGGTAGAACAAAAGCTCAGCGTGCAAATGTTTAAACAGCACGCCCAGGCAAGACAACGAATCGAGCCGTCGCTGCCCCATTGTGGGATCGATAAGTGGAACTCGTGATTTTGTCGACTTTGTATTTCATTACATCTATACTTAATGGAACGCCCATTCATTCGGGTATTCCTATTACATTACGAGTATGTTCCTATTAAAAACCATTTCTCCATATTGCTCGTGTTATAATTCATTGATCAAGTATAACTAGGATTAACACAAAATTAGCGTTTCAAATAATTTTCGCGTGTAAAAAGTCTAGGGCAATTTGCCATTTTTCGTGGCACCGATAACCGAGGCCCGTTCTGCAACATGTTGTCGTGACTGGCTGAAATAGAACAATGAAAATACATAATCAAATATGTTATACTTGTTATCAAATACAATATAGTACTCGGGGGATTGTTTTGTACCAACGGCAGCACGGTTAGCATATGTACACATAACAATAATACCGCTCTGCTGCCTTCTGCGGTGAGATTCTTGTGTTGTTTTCGTGAGTTTTTTTTTCCCTAATTCCCAATCATTTCAAGCCACCCTTCTTTCACTAGACACAACATGTCAAGCCCTAGAACTTTAAAAGGTGATTTTAGAAAAAAAAGTTCTCCTCTTACGTGTGAGCTATAGTCGAAATCTTCAAATGCTGCGGTTAATAAAGACCATAATTACTTTAGCCTTCAAATACAGTCAAGGAAATACAACCCCTAGCCAATACTGATAGGCACTGTCTTGGGCACTGGACCGAAGCACACTTCTGCGAGCAAATCTTATGGAAACCAATGAGCTTCCTCCGTAAATGCTGATATTTAAAACTCGGCCAAACTGACTAACGCAGCAAATTGGCAAAATGTCACGAGCTTTTAGCAAGTTCGGGTCACTTCAAATAAGCCATTGCTTTCGAAGCCGTTCGCGATGGATGCAAGTACTGAATGAGAGTCATCTCCACTCGCAGTTGTGTAGGCTATTCTTAGCGTCATCTTTGAGGGTCTGATATGGCAAACACTCAACCACACCGCGTACAGGTCTATCGTCCTTCAATATAATTACTTCGAATCTTTCGAGCCAGCATCTGCTGGCCGGAAAAGGAAGAAAAATACCCATAAGAATAGGCGACTTCTTCAACAAGCCCTATTAAACTACTGGAAAATATCTATTTATCGAAGTAGGAGCACATTGGACTGAGAATGGATTCAGGTAAATAACAATACATTGTTTCAGATTGAATAATAAAGCTTTGTATTTATAGTTGCCGACGGCAATGGTTCACCTAAGGACCAACTAAAGGACTATGCTGTCACGACTTCGAAGTTAGCATACGGTATGTGTACTATGGGAAAATGATGAGCCATCATCTGCGGTTAAATTTTCCTAATGAATGGCTTGCCCTCTGCCGTGATCGTAGCCTGCACGGTAAAAACATCGAAATGAACCCACCCATCCAATGTTCTACCGCTGAAATAAGTCATAGTTGTCAGTCTAGTTGTTGTCAGTGAGCTAAAAGATGAGACAACTGCTTGCGACTTCGAATAGATTAGAAAGATAAATACAAACTGCATTAAGCATACATGCATGATAGACCTAGCAGAAGGCAACTTTTGCAAACAGGAAAGTACATCTTCGAATGGTTTTCCATTTAGATAATGTTGTACATGAAATTCTATAGCTGTGTTGATACAATGGCTATAAAGCTAGTTGATAACAATGCATTCTAACGACTTGTGCTTCAGCCAAATGGGGCTACTACTTTGTTTTACTCGTTGTGTTATTGTTGAGTGGAAAGGGATACAAGCTTTTCCATATTTACTCAGTATAAAGATGAAATATGCGAACAGCCGTCCAATGAAAGGATCCCAATTTACCATAAGCGGGACCTGGACCGAACTCCCCGTTAAGCTCACCCTCACGGCGTCAGGAGGGGAACTCAGTCGTTGGTACTAATTTGCCTTCAATCTTTCGGCCACGACCAGCCCCGTATTGCTGGCGCTAACATCCTGCCGCCGCCACAGGTATGACTAGGTACTGGAACAGCAAGAACAACTCGAACAGTTCGTCATCCGGTGACCGTTTCTCCTGTATCGGCAAGAGGTTCCTCTATCCCCGATAGACCACCACGGCAGAGACGTTCCCTACTGAGTATAAAGAGCAAAGCGCTAAAGACCACGATACAAGGCGGACTTATTCACAAAAGCGTTCATGCAGAACAAATTCTCGTGCCGATGCAGAGGTAGCATGATTCTGCAACGGAACAGAGATCCGTTGACATAGACAAATGGTCAGAGATGCACGGAGCTGTGGTAGGAATCGCGCTATAGGAACAATGCACACATTTTCCTACTGCAAAGGAAAAAAACAAGAAAAAGTTCTAAACGCACGCGAAAGGCTGTAGTTGGCGCTAATGCTAGGTCGTTCGAAAAAAAAAAAAAAGGAAACAAATTGAAACTTATTTAATTTGTTCTAATACGCTAATAGCGGCTATTTAAATGAAGTGTTAGTCATGTTTAAACGACGAATTATCACAAATACGCCAATGTCTTTATAATGACCTATTAGATATTGGTTTTCTGAATAATCTTTCAATTATGCACTATTTACCAAAGTGAAAGATGACCTTAGAAAAAGAGCCATTCCATTGTACAGGTTCATATTTGTTTCTATTGAAATTTTCCGTGCAGCAACTATTTGAAACTGCTAACAGCGTCACTAAGGTGTGTCTTGTACTAATGTCACCTTTAACTTCTATTGGAACTGTACGCTAACTTGCGGTAAATTCATT